CGGTAAATTGTAAAGTTAAAATTCATTAATTCTTTAAAATGTCTTCCTCTCTGCACCTGGATATTAATTAAACTAACTACATATAGTTATGATTAGCAAGGGAGCCTCTTCCAGAATTATAAATTTCAAGGCCCCTGGCTCATGGGTACCATTGAGGGTGGGGGGCTCTAATTAAATACTGTAATTGAATTAATGCTTTGAAATTTGTTCTTCCGTATAAACCAAATTTTTTTATGAACAAGGGTGTCATTTCCAAAATTGTGAAATATATGACCCCAGGATGAGAGTTTTTGTGGTCAATGGGCACTACTAATTATTGCTAATTATTACTGATTATTTGAAATGCACTTTTTGTTCCCCTACGGACCATATAGGTATTAAGTAGCCAAACTATGCATGCTAAGTATATAGTTATGTTGAGCAATGGTGTTTTTTTTTCAAAATTGCGAATGTCATGGGCTCTTGTTCAAAGCGCGAACCAAATTCAACTGTTTTAAAGTTTTTACATGATGTTCATATGACCTATAAGACCCATAGGCCTCTTGTCGTGTTCTTATAAGAGAACCTCTAGTATCACGTTAATATGCATTTTATCTGTAACCTCCGGTCCGCTCTTATTTTTCTTTTTAGATGTCTCTTGGTTAAGACGGGTCTAGAATCGTTGATGCCTTATCTCTGCATTCATATAAATTTTATTTTATGTCTGGTTTCCTTAAAAATGTACAACAAAGGGGACCACTGGTCTCCCTATTTATGTACAACACAAGGTGACCTATGGTCACCCATGTGTTGTAAAATATAAAGTGACCTTAGGTCCCAATAATTATCTACAACATGGGGTGTCCTCTGACCCCCTATTGATGTATAAGGTGACCTCTGTTTCCCCTTTGATGTACAATATAATCTGACGTCTGGTCTCGTACAGTATAAGGTGACTATGTGAAGTGCCATATAAGGTGTCCTCTGGTCCCCCTACTGATGTAAAGTGCTATATAAGGTGTCCTCTAGTCCCCTTACCTCATACAGTACAATATGAGGTGTCCTCTGGTCCCCCTGCTGATGTACAATATAAGGTGACCTCTGGTCCCCCTACTGATGTACAATATAAGGTGTCCTCTTGTCCCCCTACTGATGTAAAGTGCTATATAAGGTGTCCTCTGGTCCCCCTACTGATCTACAGTACAATATGAGGTGTCGTCTGGTCCCCCTACTGATGTACAATATAAGGTGACCCCTGGTCCCCCTACTGATGTACAACATAAGGTGTCCTCTGGTCCTCCTACTGATGTACAATGTAAAATGACCTCTGGTTTCCCTACTGATGTATAGTATAAGGTGACCACTGGTCCCCCTACTGATGTACAATATAAGGTGTCCTCTGGTCCCCCTGCTGATGTTCAATATAAGGTGAACCCTGTTCCCCTACTATTGTACAATATAAGGTGACTTCTGGTCCTCCTACTGATGTACAACATAAGGTGACCTCTGGTCCCCCTACTGATTTACAATATAAGGTGTCCTCTGGTCCCCCTACTGATGTACAATATAAGGTGACATCTGTTCATCCTACTGATGTACAATATAAGGTGACCTCCTGTCCCCCTAACTATGTACATTATAAGGTATTCCCGGGTCCTCTAAATATGTACAATATAAGATGACCTTTAGTCCCCCTACTGTACAAGATAAAGTGTCCTCTGGTCTTCTCATTGATGTACAATATAAGGTGTCCTCTGGTCCCCCTACTGATGTACAATATAAGGTGACTTCTGGTCCCCCTACTAATGTACAATATAAGGTGACCCCTGGTCCCCCTAATGATTTATAGTATAAGGTGTCCTCTGGTCCTCCTACTGATGTACAATATAAGGTGGCCTCTGGTCTCCTTATTGATGTACAATATAAGGTGAACTCTGGTCCCCCTACTAATGTACAATATAAGGTGTCCTCTGGTCCCCCTACTGATGTATAATATAAGGTGACATCTGGTCCCCTTACTGATGTCCGAAATAAGGTGGCCTCTGGTCCCCATTTGATGTAGAACAGAAGATGACATCTGGTCTCCCTTTTGATGTACAATATACGGTGACCTATGGTCGTTCGAAAGATGTATAATATAAGTGACCTCTGGTCTTTTTTACTTTTTGTTACCTCTGGTATCCATTTAAAGATTATGGTAACAAGCGGGGGTCTTATATTGTACATCAATAAGGATTTCATACTTCACAAATTGTAGTATATGAATGGGAGGTAATCTTATGTTGTACATCATTACGATGTGAAAGTTTTAAGTAGACAATAATTTAAAATCATGGTATGTGTAGAATCATTTTTCAAATTCTCTCTAATAAAAGTTGCGACCTTAATTTTTTGACAGGGAAAAAATGCACAATTTCTCCGAATTCTCTAAATGTATGTAATTGGAATTTGGAGGATTAGTCAACTTGCTTGTCTTCAAATACAGTATATGTATCCCAAAAGTAAATAACAATTGGTACAATTTTTAAAGTTTTTGTTATTTCTTTTTTTTAAACATGTATGTAGTTTGATTGGTTTATGAATTTGCTGTGTAAAATCCAGGGAAAGGGGAGGAGAACTCCACTTCGCAATACAGAGGGTACATCTTCTTTGTAAGATAAATAAAATCAGGGGTTTACTATAAAGTGTTAAAGTGATAAGGTCGCCTATTGAAGCATGGCCTCATAAGGAAGACAAAAGAGACATTAAATAATTTATTAACAAATAATTATTCCATTATGTTAAAGGACTGGTGAAAAGTCCGAGCGAAATGAAAAGGTAGGGCGTGGTAGGGGGCAAGACCCTCATCCTCCCCCTACATGCCCACACGGACCGGTAACATACTGTATTTGATTTTACGTAATCACTATATATATACAAAAAAGGATCTCTTTTTGTATACATATAGTGATTACGTAAAATCAAATACAGTATGTTACAGGCCCCTGTGGGACTGCCCTACTTGTTATAGAGATCTGCGAATGCAGAGACTGGACGTCGTTTACTCTGAGTTGCTTACTATTAGTAAGGAGATCAGAGGTTAGGCACTGTGTTATATAGATACTATAACCTTACATGGAACAATAAAAATCATAGGGGAGACCACAGGTCACCCAACATGATTCAGAAATTTTAAATTCTTATGTATCATATATCATATAATATTACAGTTAATGTTGCTCAGCACCCCCCCCCCTCTTTCTTTTCTAATACCCATCAGATGGTTATTCCTGTGACAAAAATAAATTTTCTCGGGGGGTTTTCACAATGTAAAGGCTTCACAGTATTACGATTTACTCTATTTTCACTTTACGTGTGCAACGCGCTACATTTTGTAGCGGAGTAAACAGGCCCGATAGTCGTGAACTGAGCAGGGACCTAAGGTCCTAGTTGAGCGTACGTTTTATCCTTCTGCTTTTTACTCCCCAAAGGTGGAACTAAAAAGAGTCTTTATACTAAATGTAAAGTCGTCTAAATCTTATTTCAGTCTTAAAAGTAAAAGAAAGCTAATTTTCTGGAGTTGTAGAATATGACTGTGCACAGCATTTTACATGTACATGTATTGAATATGTGATTTCAATTCAGTCTCTTGTTATGTCTTTCGAGTTGTCCTTGGATAAATTGATGTTGTATCTTTTTTATGTCTGTCGAAAATTCGGTGGAAGGGGGGGGGGGTAAGTCTAAACTCCTTTCTTCTCAGTTCAGTGCCATTTTTTTTACTCAAACGTATATTTCCCTAATTTAACTATACTGCAACAAAGGTAAAAAGCAACGGTGTTTCATTGAGTGTTGTATATAAAAAAGTTTTGTCTGAAAAAAGTTAGATATGGCAAGAAATTAGTGCTGACTTTTACCTATGTTCATTTGTAACCCTGTTACAAGACTATTTAATCAAGTAACATAGGTTACATATCTATCTCTAAATTGAAGAATGCTGGTCTATAAAGTATAGAAGGACCAGGGTGTTATTTTTTTTTAGGTTACATTGGTTACAACTATATTTCTTTGGTGACACATATGGTTACAATGGTTACAGGTCATCTGAAACCAAAAGGGGTCTTTATTTTTAGGTTACATTGGTTAAAACTATATTTCTTTGGTGACACATATGGTTACAATGGTTACAGGTCATCTGAAACCAAAAGGGGTCTTTATTTTTAGGTTACATTGGTTACAACTATATTTCCTTGGTGACATATGGTTACAATGGTTACAGGTCATCTGAAACCAAAAGGGGTCTTTCTTTCTTGCATGGTTACATTGGTTACAACTATATTTCTTTGGTGACTATCAGTTACCAAGGTTATACAGTTCATCTTTATCCGAAGTGGGTTACATTGGATGTAACCAATTGAAAACGGAATAAATAAAAGAAAAAGCTCTTTGTTATCGCTGTAACCAATGTCACCAATTAAAAACAGAATAAATGAAAAAACATGTCTTTGTAACCACTGTAACCAATTAAAAACGGAATAAACGGAAATTATTATGTTACCTGTGTAACCGGTTACAAATGAACATAGGTGAAAGTCAGCACTTATTTCTTGCCATATGAAAAAAGTAGGGGGATGCCCCCTGCCCCACCCCATCCCAGATGCTTCGTGCCTGCAGAATAGGCGTCTCCTTAGTAGAGTTGTTCCCCATTTCAAACTGTTCAAAGAGACTTAGAATATATGCCCTAAAATATCTCGAAAATTCGACCATACAATCCATCAGAAAATTTGCAGAAAGATATTTAAAGCCCCGGAAAACCACACGAGTTCGCAAGTTCCAGTACCTAATCACCGAAATTTTAATTTGATAAATCATAAAAAAAAGAATGCTTTACAAATTCTATAGTATAAAGTATTTTTCTATTCACTGTAAAATTGATCTATTATATGAAGTACTTGTTGAAGCTTAAAATTCTCCGGAACAATAATTTCTGCCTGGTGATTCTGTATTTACATTTCCTGAGTTATTTCCGATGTTTATCAGCTGAGAATATAAACAAAAACATTTCTTGATTTGATTTATTTTATAGCCATTTAGATTTAAGTTCTGATTTTCAATAACTTCTAACATTATAATTAGAAAAGTAGTTTATAGTTTGTTGTTATTTAGTTTGCTTTTTCTTGAAGGAACCTGAGTACCCATGCTAAGCGAGGTAAGCATTTCAACAAAACTGTCAAAAGTTTATCAGGTCCAGTCCAAAGACTATTTCTACCTATGTAGGTATTAATAGCTACGTAGGTATTTAAACCTACCCAAAGTAGCTATTTTTACCTACTTTCTGCTTTACTTGCATTTTGTGGCTAAACTCATGAACGGCGCATTATGGTGAGCTCCAAATTTCTTGATACAGTCACACTGATGATGGATATGACAAATATTTGGCCAAAAAATGATTACTTCGTATATTATCAATTTTGCATAGAAACTAATGTAAAATTGCCGATTCAGGAAGTAATCATTTTATCGTCAAAATTTTCTAGTATTCATATCAGTGTGGCTGTTTCAAAAAAATAGGGTATTTATCATGTTGCAAGTAAAGCAGAAAGTAGGTAAAAATAGCTACCTTGGGTAGGTTTAAATACCTACGTAGCTATTTATAGCTACGTAGGTAGAAATAGTCTTTGGACTGGACCTGTTTATCACAGCTGTTTATTGTTTGTTTGTCAGTTGAAAATTATTGTCTTACTGGAATAACCCTTGCACGAATGGCATAATTGGATAAAACATGTATCATAATAGCACTTTTGTGTAGTAATATCTAAAATTGAAAATAATTTTTCTGTACAAGATATACCTTGCCTTTAATGTAAAGCCGAGTAACTACATGGACATTTCAAAAAAATATATATGGCAAATAAGTTCTCAGTATCCTTTATACACAATATTCAAAGCTAAACCTCACAAACTGTAAGGAGAGAAATCTGTATTGCATTCAGTTAATCTCGACAGGATTTGTTGAGACCAAATTATTACTTACTAGTATTACTGACAAAGAAATGTCTATACAAAATTTTATTGAGTCTCAATAATTGAATAAATTACACTGAGATAAGCATTCCATGCACTTTCATGTTATACAATATTTATAAACTGTTTTTTTTTCTTCTTTTAGAATCAAAGATCCATTAGATGGCAGTACTGTCTTACAATTTGATTCTTCTTCCAGTGGCTGTTCAAATGTGACGAGAAGACACCTAAAACCAATTTAGCCTATAGAGAGAACACAAATTAAAAGTACTCCAGTTAGATCAATGAACATGAAATTAAATACCCAGTGCTTATGCATTTTAATTTTGATTTCACTGCATATAAGTCAGTGTTTGGACACTTTGATGATTGTTAAGAAGCTGTTTGAGAAAGTCAGGAGTTCACAGATTCAGAAAACAACCAAAAGCCTTCCTCCATTTTCATGGCACAAGGAGAAAGGACTGTTTGAAAGTCATGTCAAGCTGTATTTTCATGGATCATTTAGTGAGTTTATGCTCCGTGAAGGATTTGAAATATTTGACAATAACAATTTTGCCACAGCTTGGATTACAACAGCTCTTCTTGAGGTTCACCAGTTGGAAAACAATGGAACTTACATTGATGAGGAGTTGATTTTAAATGCAGTGAAAGCCATGGGGAACTTTGTTGATAAAAATAATAAATTCAACACATCTGTTCAAACATTTTGGCCCCAAACATTTAATGAAACTGTGGCCACATGGCAAAGCACACCACAGAATTTGTTGCAACTCTTTGCTCTATTTGATGATATTCCATGGTCTGTGATTTTAAACTTTATTCAAAAACTGCATTTAGCTGATGCTGAAATGATAAAGAATATCAAACAACTGCTGCAGGAGAAGTAAGATTCCTTATTTCTTTTTCTTTTTTTTTTTAAATCAGCTGTTTACCAATAAAACTCTCTACATGCAGTCTATACTGTGTATACTCATTAATTTGGGAATCAAATTCTTTTATTTTTAATAAGCTTCAATTTTATAGTACCTTCCCACAGGCACCTGACTGACGTTACTTATTTTTCTTTTAATAAAAAAAATACCCCTACCTAATAATAAATGTTTTATTATTAGGTAGGGATGTGTTTTTTATATTAAAAGAAAAATAAGTAACGTCATGTGACTGTGTACCTTCCGTAGTTTTTTTCATCAAAATTCATTGTAAACTAATTAATGTTTATGTGTCGATGAAATGAAAACATTATGCACAATGTAAGAATTATGGGCAGGGTTACAGTTTTTGTGAACAAACAGACAGATACCGGTAAACAGACAAAGATGCATTGATAGGGTAAATAACATATACATGTACCCTCAAATCTTTGCTTATTATCATGATAATTTGGCTATAAATATAAATAGATTGTACAATATGTTAAAATGCATTTTAATTTGTAGTCTTTGAGTCACCAACTAGAAACATTACTATATATATTTTTATGTTTCAGGGATACCTATGTAAAAGCCTTCCATATTCCTCCTGATTTTGATGACACTTTTGTGAACATTGGCTTAGGATCACTTTTAAAAGAAATGTCCAAGACTTTCCCTCAGAGCTTCCAGACATGGATGAAAAGAAATTCAAATTTAACATCAATTTTGACTGCACTTAAGAAATATGCTTACAGGTAAAAAAAAAATATTATCTAATAATATGAAAAATATTGGTATATAATATTTTTAAGCTGAGCGTGTGGCATATTTTTTTTAATGTTATTGCAGACTATCAAACAAAAATTATTGTATGATTTAGCTTATGATTTTTAGCTCACCGAGCCGAAGGCTCAAGTGAGCTTTTCTGATCACATTTTGTCCGTCGTCCGTCCATCCGTCCGTCTGTCCGTCCGTCTGTCTGTCTGTCCGTCTGTCTGTCCGTCTGTAAACTTTTCACATTTTCCACTTCTTCTCAAGAACCACTGGGCCAATTTTGACCAAACTTGGTACAAAGCATCCTTGGATGAAGGGGAATTTAAATTGTTAAAATAAAGGGCCAAGTCCTGGCACAAGGGGAGATAATCAAGAAAAGACAAAAATAGGGTGGGTTCATTAAAAAATCTTCTTCTCAAGAACCACTGGTCCAGAAAAGCTGAAACTTATGTGGAAGCATCCTGGGATAGTGTAGATTCTAAATTGTTCAAATCATGACCCCTGGGGGTAGGGCGGGGCCACAATGGAGAATCAAAGTTTTACATAGAAAAATATGAGGAAATATCTTTGAAAATCTTCTTCTTAAGAACCACTGGTCCAGAAAAGCTGAAACTTATGTGGAAGCATCCTGGGGTAGTGTAGATTCTAAATTGTTCAAATCATGACCCCCGGGGGTAGGGCGTGGCCACAATGGGGTATCAAAATTTTACATAGAAATATATAGGAAAAATCTTTGAAAATCTTCTTCTTAAGAACCACTGGTCCAGAAAAGCTGAAACTTATGTGGAAGCATCCTGCGGTAGTTTAGATTCTAAATTCATGACCCCCGGGGGTAGGGCGGGGCCACAATAGGGAATCAAAGTTTTACATAGGGAATATATAGGAAAAATCTTTGAAAATCTTCTTAAGAACCACAGAAAAGCTGAAACTTATGTGCACATGGAAGCATCCTTGGGTAGTGTAGATTTCAAAATGTCTAAATTATGATCAGTGGGGGTAGGGTGAGGTCGCAATATGTATTAAAAGGGGGAAATCTGGTAAAGAACAGAATGGTCAAAGCTTCTCAGGTGAGCGATGTGGCCCATGGGCCTCTTGTTTATCTTTATGCGGGAAAGGAAGGTCAGTGGTTCTGATCCACCCTCTACTCAAGTATTTATTTATATAACTATAATATTAGAGAAAAGAATTATATAAAATTAAAAAATGTGTACATATGATTGTTTTTTTTTCAAAGGCCCATGTCAGAAGACAGCAATGCTAACTCAATAGACCCAAGGACATATTTCTATATGAGAGGTTTCTTAGAAAACGCCAGGGATGCAGGTGACACCATTGCTCTTGTGTCTACCTGGGTAAGATTTACAGTTATTTATTGTCTATTTAGTGTCTGGAAACAGCACTCTTTGTACTTCAATTTATTTTAAAAATCTGAAATATTTATTTTACATGTATTATCCCTGTCCTTTCACTTTTAGGTTCATAATAATGATGAAGCTAGGAAAGGATTTTACAAAGGCAATGTCATGCCATTTAATGTCAATAACGTTGATATTACTGTGGCAGCTAATGCTATTTATGGTTTAACAAATGGCATTTTATCAGGCATTCTACCAAAGTCTGTAATGGAAGATCCTAAAATTCAGGTTAGGGTTTTTTTTAACATGTACAGTCCAACCTCATTTTCTCTAAACTCAAATAGATAACGAATATAAGGTTTCTTGATATTGAATTTTTAAATGTTTATTGAAGTAAAAGATGTTGGAATTTTTAAATCACTAAGACATATACAAATCTTAAAAAATCAGTGATCTTGTGTTCACTGGTGGGCATAGGTCCCTTGACTAATGTTATTCAATTTTTAAGGCTGACTGCAGAGCCATTTTAAAAGAAATAACAAAAGGGTAACTACCGTATATACTCGCCTATAAGTTGGTATTTTGGGAGTTAAATTTTAGTCCAAAACTCAATGTCTTACTTATAGGCGAGTCATAAAGATATTGGTATTTTTCTGTAAAGTGAAACGTTGCATTCCGTATATATTTCAGACAATTGCTGAAGAACAAAGCCGATATATGTATAATAGTATATGCATTCAAAGATTATACATGTAGTACAAGCATTCACTTATTATAATGGTTTTATTTGTGCATCAATCATTTGTTTAATGATTTAAAACTAAATATCGGCGTTATTTCGAAAAATATTAATAAAAACAGCTAAAAACATCTGTGCATTGATTTTAAAATGTCAAATGATTCTGGCAAAAAGTTATACCGACTTATAAGCGGGTCAATGGCAAATCCCTCCAAATTAACCTAAAAAAATACAACCGACTTATAGGCGGACCGACTTATAGGCAATAGACCTTGTTTTCTGAACAAAATATCATATCTTTATTCTTTAAACTAATTGTAAATTTTGTTTTCTTTGTGCAGCAAATATACCTGAACACATCGGCATTAATTGCATATGAGATCAATACAAACCTCTCCAACAGAAGGGACTTGGCTTTGACCTACTACCCTTCAGAGTATGAGTTCTACTGGTTTGTGTCAAGGACATTTAGTAAACTACTGGAACATTCCCAACATCAAAGCCTACATCCTGTAAGTTATTAGCTATTGATACCAATATATAGATAGTAACAAGACCCCCCCCCCCCTTAATCATTTCAAGTTTGTTTCTGCTGCTTGGTAGCCATGTAGGGTGTCCGCTCTAAATATAACACCTGTTAATTCAGGGGGATATTTGACTCTATTGTTTAAAAAAATCCCATTTCCTACCCTTTATATTTTGGGAATGTTACAGGAAACAAACATATTTTTATGCCTTATTATACTCTTAGTTAAGCTAGGTGTTGCACATATTAACAAAACTTTTCTTAGTTAAAGCAAATTCTCTAAAATTGATAAATAGTAATCACTTGCACATACCTTTTATTAATTTTTTTTAATGAAATACATTTATGAAATCACCAAGAGCTGTTGTAAGGTTTAGGAAGGAAACACTGTCATTTAATCAAAGAGTGATAATCCATACAAATGAAAATTACCAATAGTAGCATAGTATTACAGTGACCAAAAAGTTTATAGACAGTAAACCCTGGAATATATATCGAGATTGGTAAGTAATTTCTGTAATTTAAAGATACCATGGTTATACATGTACATTGTAACAGTATGTAGATTGCATTTCATATATTTCCATTTATAAATCAGTATGTTATGTTTATTTCTGAACAATATCGTTTTACCTACTATAGAATGGCAAGATTACAACTTAAGTATATAACGAATGAGATTACCTCCAGTTCTTACATTCCATGTATCAACTTCCCCTGTTTGTGTAGCAATATTCGTCTATTACCTTCTTATCATTTTTATGACTCCTGCCTGATTCAGCATATTGATGTAACATAATTAGTTTTTAAAAAAAGAGAGGCTACTCATATATAAGTTGGTGTCACTAGGCTTTTAATAATCTTGTTTGATACACAAGAGTAATGCTCTACGTTTGAATGATTTCTAAAACGAGGCAAGTTATTGAAAAATAACTTGATGAAACAAGTTTGAAGTCATCGTTTTTGAAGTCTTATGGTCGATCCCGTACGAAAGTTCGAGGCGGAATAGGCACGGCTTGGGCACGGCTAAGGCACGGAATCTGGACGGGTTTTTAAACAATGGCACGGGTTCTGCATGTCCAAGACACGGACACGGCTTTTGAGTCTGAAAGTGAGGAATCCTCACTCACAGAAACCCGTGTGGAGGCACGGAATCCGTGTCCCTGGGAGACGGTTTTTAACTCGGGCGGGTTTTGCTTCAAACTATTTATTTATATCTCACGGCTTTTTACTGAGCATGCTCAATCATAACTTCCTTTATTTGAATATTGAATTGGAGGGATTCATGGTCATGAGCTAAGAAAGGTGTTTTTTACTCTAGTTAAAGGATATTAAACTAATAGATGTCAGTTGGAATTGTATTTATGACAGTCTTGGAGGATTTCCTCACTTTTAAACTAAATGCAGTAAGTCTAAGATAGAATAAATACTAGTTCATATTCAATTTTCATGATCTTTCTGTAGTTGCAATGTTGATATTGAACAAATGAAACACTGCATCTCGGTTTATTTGAATGACTCTAGTTGTACTCTCATTAATTAATCCCCAAATTTTTTATGTGTCATCACTCTGCTACAAAAAGGTTTATTTAAATTAAATTCTTTCTCAGATTGTCCAAACTAAGATAAAATTACAAATTATCAATCAAATTCTTAATTAAAAACTAACATGGATTGTAACTGATAAAGCAATCCTAATCTTTAACAGAAAGTAAATCAGGACACATTCACATAAGATTTTCAACTTTTAAAATTCTAAAGCTATAAGCATAATGATAATTGTAAAGTGTTGTGAAGTTTGGTTTCAGTCACCATTTTGGCATCCACAGTTACATCAGGAGATTCTCAACAGGCCCTGACCTAGATCTAGACAAAAGCACAGATCCCGTGACTCCATATATGGTATGTCACACGGCTTTTTTTGACACGGGTTTCCAAAAATCCGTGTCTCCATATATGGAAAAGGACACGGGTTTACAGAATCCATATACTAGTATGGAAACTAGCACAGCTTTCTGACACGGATTTTGTAAAACCGTGTGATCTCATTGAAATAATTCGGCCAAAATCCCGTGCCGTGTCCGTGCCTTGATCACTTTCAGGCACGGCTTTCCATACATACTTGACATAGGAGCAGGAATTTTATAAGCACGGGTTTCTGGAACGGAATCCGTGCCTAAGCCATGTCTAAGCCGCCCGGACTGTTTCGTACGGGTTACAACAATCCTGTCAGATAAAAATAACTTTAACCAGGTTCTTGTTATTTCTTTTCAATGTCAGGGAGCCAGGCTGTGTAGAAAAACGTTTAAAGGTGCATGGACGCAGATTTGAAGTTAATATTTTTCTGTGGAATATCACGATGTATTTATTTTAATAGCATTTCACACAAAAATATATTAAAAATTTTATTTCATCTTAAAGTTATTGAAACTTCAAATTTTTCGATGGGTTTGATTGACACATCCTTGCACTCTCACAAATTTCACGGAAAATATTCAAACTATAATCCAGAACAATAATTATATTCTGAGTAGGAATGTTAGAAAGCAAAACCCCTTCACAAGTATCGTCATTCCGCGCTAAGTGTTGTGTACAGAGTTAAGTAACTTGATCACACCCGTGAAACGTACACAGTTTCTGTAAACAGAACAAAAGCTCTGTTATTGTTGATGTTTTTAATTCACCGGGTGCGTTCAATTGTTAAAATCTGCTCACCACAACTGCACGGACTGACGATATACTGTTTGTAACTTTCGAACATTTCTACTCTGAGTTTTCTGGATTACAGTTTTAATATGTTTCATTTATCACAACAATATTGCCACTTTTCCTAAGTATAAAGAATAAAATCAAACCCGTCTTTAAAAAAATTAAATTTTTAATACATTGTAACTTTTAGGATGAAATAAAATTTTTAATACATTTTTGTGTGAAATGCTATTAAAATATATAAGTGGTAATATTACACATAAAATATTAACTTCAAATCTGTGTCCATGCACCTTTAAAAGATACCAATCTTTCCAATTTTTGTTTCAATTAATTTTCAAAAGAATAAAAGGAATCCCTTGATACAGCACTTCATGTAATTATAATACATGTAGTCATGTACCATGTTTACTATCTGTTGTAAGTTTAAAGTTTTGTGTCATAAGTAATATTATTAAATCTCGAAAATGGAAATGTATTGAACTTATCCACACAGCATTATATTTTGTAGAATATGCACGAGTGTTTTAGTACAACTATTTATGCTTGAATTTCTTAATTTTAAAGTTTAATGGATTTGGGTAGATACATTTTAGACTTTGGTTTTTTTTTCACGAAAATATGATAAAATGTAAATAACTTTCCTATGTTAATTCAGCAAAGACCATTCAAGCTTAAACTCCATTGAAACAATTCAAAGGGGGGTGGGGTAGAGCAAACATGTATGCCCCTCTAAAAGCATCTAAGGTGGGATTAGGTGCCCTGGGGTAGTAAGCATCCACTGATGATCGCTTACATGAGTCATGTGCTCTTTGTGATGATTCGACAATGGGAAAAGTTCACAGACAACTCAGCGTGTAAACAATTTTATAGATCTTCTCGATCTTCTTGCAGATCATGAAGCGAGTTCAGGAGATACTGAGAGAAGCCCTGTGTGGTAAAATGACCACCTCTATTTTGATGTCCTACAAAACTGACAGTGATGGGTCAGTGTTTTATGACGACTTTCTCGGCGATGGGGATAGATCACTTTTCATCAATAAAACAATTGTAAGTAAAAGTAAAATGTTATTTGCAGATTGTTTTGACATAATGTATCTTACTGAAGAATCATTGTGCAAATGTCATTATATTTTATTGTACAGAAAAGAGGTGAGGATCGAATATTTACAACATCTATGGCAATCAACGCATTATTAACAACATGGACTTCCTACGATATTGCAAGAAAGAGGCTGACATGGGTAAAAGGTACTATGATTTCTTCTTTAGTCTGTCATTAGTTAGGTTTTCAAGTCTCTAAAAAAGACAAAAAAGTTTACTTACCTCTCGATTTTTAGGCAGAAGAAAAGTATGGACATTTTTGTACAAATCAAAGTATTTCTGATTCATTTCAATATAAAAAGAAACAACAAAGATGCACAGTTTAACATAGTTTAATTAATATTTAAATTTTCAGGTGTGCCAACCAAAGTAGTTGATGTGGTAAAGAGAGCTGTACAATGGATGTGTAGAAATGTCCTGTCCAGAAAGTATCGGCCTTGGAATGCGTTCTTCTCGGGTTCAGTGAAAAGTTTTGTAAGTGTTATTATTTTTTTTCCAATTCATTTTATTTTTTTTGAAAATATTTTTTTTAATTTTAGCAGTGGAGTTGTCAATTTTTACAAAAAAGGAAACAACAAAAACAAAAGAAAGGAAATGCAAAACAAAACAAAATCATACGAAAACAAAAAAAAAAATTCCTAAAATAAT